CTAATTCATTGTACATTGTTTATGTAATATCGCGAATAGAGAGTGAGGATCGCTATTTTTAGAGACTACACACTTGAAATCCGGTTACCAACAATTTTCATGTAACGCTTTCCATTACGTAGGTTTTGTAATTTTTAAGCTCAAAAGCACTGTTATAAGTATGAAAAATTTTAATATTTTTTACGTTATTGCACGAAAGCCTATATACATTTAAATTTAGTTAATTGAATAAATATATATAAATTTTTCAATTTATTATGGATTTTTAATTGATATACATATATAAACAAATTTCATCTTTATAGATATGGAACATCGAGTGATAAAAAAAATTAAAGGAGTGAGTGTATGTTGTACATTTCGTTAGTCAATATTTTCTCAAACCCCAAGCACTTATCTATATTTCTTAGTTATTTCTACGAATACTTCTTCAATTACTAATCTACAAGAGCGCATCGCTTTCTACCCGTAGGTACACAAGCACGTATATTACAGGCATAAGTCATAACGCGTAGGCTCCCACCGCGGAATTTAATAGACAATACTATAATGCTTATTAATATTAGTCAGTGTCTGTCCCTTGCTTTCCTGTACTTTAGTAATATTTAAATTGCGAAAAACAATTATTTTCCTTCGTTTAAAAAGAATTGACCCAATAATTGACTTGCTTGTCCCGAATATGCTGGACTATAGGAAATTGACTGTAATTAAAGAACTAGTGTTTTTCAGACGTTCAAACCAATTCGAATTATCATATCAGTCTTTCGGGCTGTTCGGCCGATGTGAGCGAGAAGAGGTTCTCGACGTTTCGCCATCACCTGTGGACGGCATCATCAGATATTAATTCCTCGATTGCTCGAAGAATTAATTCTTATATACGCTGAACGATGGCCGTGAAAGCCTTACACAATTTACTAATTCGAATTATGTTGTATGTCTAGTATAAGATTTATTTTTCATACTACATAGAGCTTTAATAATAATCCTTCCACATAAATGGATATGGAATTTTTAATCTGATACCAATTCGGTCATCGTTGACTTTTAGTACAGTACTATAGTGGTACTTAGCTCATAAAAACATACTATAGGAGACAGTGGGACATAATTACGTTCAAACGGAAGAATAATTAAATATTCCCTATCGGGTATTTCTAAAACATCTGTAGTGTAGTATGAAACAGTGGTCTATTGTAACCGGATCTAGTAACGAGTAATTGTTAATGCCCAGCTCCCAAGCCGTAAGGCTCGAAAACAACGCCTCTTAGTAACGATATAACAAGGCATGCAATTATTACTGTTAATTGAGACTAATTGAGCGTAATGGAAAGGGCGGTCATATTGAGCTTTTCCTTATTCTCTAAAACTAGATCTTTGAATACATCTTTATTTCGAAATCAACAACACTTAAATCTCACTAAGTTTCACATTATAGCTTAGGTATATAAAATAAGTTAATTTTTAACTAGAACTCTACCAATAGAGCAACAGCAATCGTAGGTTTGTGACTTGCCCGTGTCATCAAACTTGTTTTAATCTAAAATATATAGTAAAAAATAAGAAATGTATAGTAGGTATATCATACTTTGTCTTAAAGTTCCAGCTGTTTGTTGATGGAAAATATATCACAAACGAGGGACGTATTTGCATGCAAAGATTGCTTACTTTATTAGTATTTTAGATCAATAATTATGTTTTGCGTTTTTAGCCGTCGCAAGTGTTTTAGAGAAACATGAAAACCTTTTTGTGTTTTATGATTAACACTTTATATTTGGTTTGTACAATCGGTAGGTATATTATATTCTAAGAATAATATGATAATCGTGTTTTAACCTTGTTCAATAATAATGTTGAAATTTTGATTTCATGGTAAAAATACGTGCAATTTTCGGCACTATACCATTATGCAGTAAGTACCTAATATGTACGTAGACAGGTTCTACACATTAGCCAAGATATACTACGATATATGTTGAAAACCACATAATGCCTTCAAGTCGTGACAGAATATTTGATCCTATTACTGGGTAAATGGATATGCACTAAGGACTAACTACAATCAATTAACCCTTCCACCAATAAACCTAGTAGCTGCAATAACATTAAGTTTATGAATATTATTTTTTTTTGATGTAGGTAGGTATATAACTTAGGTTTAAATACAATTTTTTTCGTGGCTTATCCATAAAACGCTTAATTACAAAAATCTGCTTTTGTACTTTTATTTCGTTACGTTAAAAAGATAAATAAATTCAATACATTATTTTGAAGACACTAGTAGATCGAACATCCTGTAATATATATTTTTAATTAGATAAATACACATACCTTGCACTCCAAATCAATAACTATATGAAACAATAAATTATCCACTGTTCACTTTTAAAAATTACGTGTGAAACACGCGCAAAAAAGTACAATCAAAGGCACATCACATCTATTAGAGAAATACGGAACGCGAGTTGCGAGTCTTACGCTATGCCGGCTACACTATGTTGTCTTTCAATACATAAACAAACCGACTAGCAATCTGAAGCTAGCGCCGTATGAGATCGGCATTACCACATGTACCGGCGAGTCACCGTCGAGTTGGTCCGTGAGAATCCTTGAAAATCATACTAAAAATCTTATTAATTCGTCACTTAACATTCGATAGTGACTTCAGTAGTAGATGTTGTAGTTTAATTTTGGAACGTGTAAGTTAAATAGAGGGATGGGTAATAGGAGAAGGGGACACTTAGTAGGGGCCAGATTAACGCTAGCGTGACGTATGAAAAGCTACCGCGGCTGCGCGGTAAGGAGCGATTCGCCCTTCAGACATGGACCAATTTGTGCACTGCGGCCTTGCAACAAAGTTCATTTATACGTGCTGTTGCTTGGACAGAGTTTTCGCTTCTAGAGTTATAGTCGCTCTGCTTTATAAATTAAGGTTGAAATTACCCTGTTTATTTTAATTATTAGACGGAGCGTGAGCATGGGGGCGAAATGTTTGATTGGAGTAAGCTTTCGACCCTTCATAACAAAAAGGACAGAGGATGTCAAATTTGAATCATTTCAAACCAAAAACATTTTGATTGCGGTGAAATAAAATGTGTTCAATTAAAATACTCAATAGAACATTACATATATAAGTTAAGCTGAGTTGAGTTTGATCAGAGAAGATACCCAATAAATATGCATGAAATAACTTCTCTTTAAATGATCTAAAAAATGTCCACGACAATATCCCATGTCTATCTTTTAAGATTAACTTGCAAGAACGACGGGCCGAAATTTTGCTGCCCAAAATAACTATTCTACGCGAAGTTGCTGACATAGCTATAATATATATTAAATATATGTAAAATATAAAGTTTTACAAAGACATAGTCACCTATTATAGAAACCTTAATGACCTACTAATAAAAGTCTTCTCCGGGTTTCTGCAAATAAATCCTTCTTGCGTTTTTATACTACATTATATATTGAAAATTAATATTTTTATAAGACACTTTGTAAAGATTGGTAAAGGAGTCCCGAGACTACATAATAATATGGTCCTCCTTCATCGTATTTAATTGATTTCTTAAATTCTGAGATTTTTCTTGGATGTGGTTTTGGATTCACGCTGCGCAACATTAAGCGAAGCCTTTTTTAATCACTTAATTTAATAACTAAATAAGTCTACAAATTCTTAATGCCCCCTTTAGATCAATTGTTACTTTGAACATATTATAATGTATTACTAAACAAGGCGACACAATGTTACACATTTTTATAACAAGTAGGGAATAAAAAACATCACCCTTTTAAAATTTAATTAATACATTTAAAATACTGAATAGACAATATCTTATATATAAATTGACACTTATAAATGGCAGCTTGGTCAGGAATTCTCTATAATAAATATGGGTATCTTAAAATCTAGATAATAACAATAAAATCTTTAAATGCATACTCAAACTACCTAATCTTTGGTGGTACAATAATTGATATGGATCTAAAATTGAGATTTGGAGACATATTCATTTATCTATACTTTTTAAATAATGTTAATAAATGTAAAATTAAAAACATAAAATTTGTGCTCCTTAAAGGTAAAGCAAAACTAATTGAAATAAAAAATCCTCTCAATGACTAGACAATAACCCTGATTATATAAAATAATGATAATTCGTAAAAGATTTTTAAAACCACATTTAAATATATGTTATTAATTTAAATATCTTTCTACAGCTAATCAAAATGGTAATGGATAGCTTCGTTATCATAAAATTGTCAAAAACTTATATTCTACTAATATAACAAATAAAATTGCTACATCTGAAACATAATAACAAATAAAGACTTGAATACCTAAAGTAAATACATTTTTTAGGACTGAATGCTTAAACAAAACAACCAGTTAAGATCAGATCATTATTAATTTTGGAGTTGAAATATATAAGCAATGCTCTTTATCTTATTTGAATATGTTAAGCATAAAAAATTTGAATAAATAGTTTATTTTTGTACATAAGCAACATTTTTTATAAGATATATCATTAATAACAATGAAGACAATTTTTTATGTACCCTTGGAACAATATAAGGAATATTTCAATTGATATATTAATATATGTATGTTTGATGATTGTATTACAAACGTATGTAGTAACTCCAAAAAAACATTTTTTTAGATTCTACACACAAATAATAATATAATTCGCTTTTCAAAACTCAAATACTACTCCATCATGTTAGTTAATAGTATTTAAGTACTTCAGTCTATCATTATCAAAAGGTTAGTGAATATTCTCCAACTTTTTATTTGAAAGCACCTCATTTCAAAAATAAAAATTTATAGACCGAAATATTGTTGCATACTATAAATAAAAATCAGTCTATTTAATGTTACTTATTGGTATATAAATATTTAATTTTTAAAAGGAATGTTAAAATTTAGAAATATAATAAATGTGTTAAAAATCGTAAAAAGTACTGTATACTGTGGAATGTATAAGATCACAAATAGAATTTTAGCAGGAGCAGAATTTCCTATCCTGTTTAGCTTGTAGTTTTTGCAGAGATTGTCGACGTCGGCCTGTAGCACACTGCATTGCGTATTCAACTGATGTTTCCATTCTATAATATAAAATTATTGAAAATAATTAAAAGTAAAAACAAATGTGTTAGAAATAAGAGTGCAGTTACAGTGTATCCTAATAATTATAAAACTTTATTAAAACTATTTATGTAGGGTATTATCTTGTCTTAGTAGCAGTTACCTTTGGATTCTATTTTTATTAGTATAGTAGAAAAACAGAAATTTAAAAAAAAAATGCATACCTGAACATAACTTTATCAAGGAGGATCTCAATGGCACGGTCAATGTTCTGTCCAGTTTTTGCACTGGTCTCCAGATATGGCAAATTATAGTTCTTTGCAAACTCTCTTGCCCGGTTTGGATTAACTAGTCTTTTTTCTTGAAGATCACATTTGTGCCCACAGAGTACAATATCTGGATCATCACTTAAGCTGTGTGTCTGTAAATCATAAATGTCTATTTTAAATTTATCTGTATTTAAGGTTTTAAATAATATGTTAATGCTTATAATGGTGTTGGTGATTCTTATTAATGTTGCTTTTTATTTATTTAAAGAATACAAAATATATTAATAAAGCTGTTATGGGTTTTTTAAACATCCTTCTCATTCATCAGGCAGAACTGTTTCTCCTACACACACGCCTGAACCATAGAACCTGACTAAAGCAGTTTTTTTGGGTGAATATACTTTTGATTTACTACAAACTGTTTCTGTGACATATTACAAAATAACAAACCATTTACCTTTAACTGTTCAATCCAGTTTCTGACTTCAAGGAATGACGCCTCATTTGTTAAATCAAATAATAATAGAAAGCCCATTGCATCCCGATAAAATGCAGTGGTTAAACTCCGAAATCTGTAAAAATGACAGAAAATGGATTATAACTCAAAAATGATAACATATTGATTTCAAAATACATAAAAAATTATATTAAAAACAGTTAATACTATTGTGATGGAATATGTCAATTATAATGTCCACTTACCTTTCTTGTCCTGCTGTATCCCAAAGTTGTAAGTGTATACGATGCTGCCTTCCATTTTGTTGGTAAACCTTAAAACCGTAAAGAACCAATTATTAAAAGCCTACTAAATAAAGATTAAAAAAAAAAACAATTATTAAATTTTAAAGACGTTATTGAAAAATTATTAGTATGACAAACTTACGACAGTCTTTTCTCTAAAATCTATTCCAACTGTAGATATAAATTGAGTATGGAAAACCCCGTCAGTGTATTTATAAAGGAAGCTCGTTTTTCCAACTCCCGAATCACCAACGCATAATAATTTTATGAGGTAATCGTAGTCCATTTTGGTATTCACATTGGTTAAAAAACACTGAAGACTATTCCTTAAGTTTATAATTTAAATGTTTATTTCTTGTAAAAAAACTAGACCACACAATCCAAATATTGGCCTAAATATTTTGACATTCGAGAATAAGGCAAAGTTATATTGAGTACTATTTTTTTTTTTTTTTTTTTTTTTTTTTGGGATATAAAAAATTTTTAAAAAAAGATTGAGTACTATATTCTTTGGTATAGATTACCACAAGAACAAAATGTTGCAGTTTCGAAGCCTATATAACAAAATGTTTTGACTTTCAACAATAAAATAAAAATGTAATTTTATCTTAATTTACGAGTATTCAATATATTTTTGGTCATTACTTTAAGCAAGGATATGGAAACCTAAGTTATCTAATTATGACTATTGCCTTTTATTTGACTTTAGAAGTCTGTAGTAAGCTTTCCTTCTGTCATACTTAGTAATCAGTCTGTGGCTAATTTTGTTTTGTAAATATTATGCATGAGACATACCAGTTTCAATTTAACTTATATTTGTCTAATAATATTAACATTATGTAATTTCTAACTAAACTTGAAGACATCCAATGTATTTTAAAATAATATGTTAATATGGACCCGCAACCGACACAAAGCGTCAGAGAAAGTCCTAAAGTAGAAGTTGAATATTGGTTTGTAAGAAATCTGTTTAATATTTTACAGAAATTCAGTGTTTTATTTATTTATAAGACTAATTTAGTAATAATTAATATTTAAATAAAACACTTTAACGGTTTAAAACGCGATATATATAGTTAAACTTGTTTAAAATATATTTTTAACTACGGCCCGACGTTTCGGTTGCTTTGCAGCAACTGTGGTCACGGGGAGGGGTGTCTCCCGTAGGGGAGGCCGTTGTTTAACTAATATATCTCATTTTAAACCCTTAAGTGTTTTACTTAAATGGGTACTACTCGCGTAAACTGCAGGCAGTATTTAATAATTGATATTATGATAAATAAATAATTTTATATATTCTTTCAGTGGAGTTTGTGATTATGGTGGTCATTGCTTAACTTTGGCGAAAATGATAAATGAAAAAAACCCCACCGCTACTATTATCTGTAAGCGTGGACGGCAGGGTGAGTAACAGGCTTCAATTCTCATAATATGCTTCAATGCCATAAAATCAAAAATTGGTCACAAGTTGTATATTTTCAGGATCATTTGAGGTACTGATCAATGAAAAACTTGTTTACTCCAAGCTTCAGACTATGGCCCTGCCAGATTATGAAGAAGTTGTGAATGTTGTAAGTGAAGTCTCTGAAGGTATGGAGCCAAAAATTATAAAAGGACAACAACCAATTAACTGTATAATTCAATAAATTTATTTATCCAAGATAACAATGACAAGAGCAACCCTGTATAGTATAACTTTTGTAAATATTTCTAGTCTAAACAAAATGAAATAAAATAATGAATGTATCAATATATCTGATAATAACAATTATCGAAATGTTAGTATCAAATTTAAATGTACAACTGTATATAAAAATAAATATATTCTAATAAACTTTGTTAACACTAAAAGTATAAAATTCATTACAATCAAAGTAATATGCAAATCACAGAATTAGATTTTTTAACAAGGCAGTATAAAATATACAATTTTTTTCTATACTTAACAACAAATAACAAATTAATGTCAATGAACTCACACACTGTGTATGTTTTTGATAGGCAAGAAAATTATAGGAAAATAAAATATGCCACGAATGCATTTATCTACTCAGACCATCTTTACTGTCATTATAGATTGGAACTACACACGCAAATCTGTCCAATGTTGAAGACTTTGATCCATGGACTGGACCTATATAACTTAAATAGATACCAAAACGTAGTTTACCTTCAAACTGTTCGGCTATAGTTCTAAGTGGTTCAACAGTCTTTTGGCCTGTTTTTTGATCAATACATACCATTTGGCATCTAGGACACTGGCCATCAATCTGTAAAATTTAAAAAATATATGTTTGCATCACATTTTAACTAGGTACTAAAAAGGATTCAATATATCTGGGAAATTAATACATATTATGGAAGTAAAACTTACATTAAATTCGTGATCTCCTATGATTACTCTATGCCATTGTTTTTCTGTCAATTCCTGTGACATATCAATTATAAGATTGCCTCTAAAACGATCAGTCAATGAATCCAAATCATCAGAAAACAGTGGATCATCTATTTTTCCTCTAAGCCACTTAACAGTAGCTTTATTAACTAAAAGAAATTGAGCTTGATTGCTCAGTGATAACAACTTGTTTCCATCTGTTCTTTTCTTCTGGGACCGAGTATCATCACTAGATTGTCGAATCAATCTCAAAAAGGATATCCCTAGAGCATTAGACACCCAATCAGCAACATCATCTCCACAATCGAATCCTTTGATAATATCTGTACATACTTTACTGTGACACAGGGATGTTTCTTCATATTTATCTTTGGGCATATTGTGATCTAAGGGGATTGATATTGAAGGCATATCTGAAATGAGTATAAATTTTTTTAAACAAAGGTTTGTTTTTATATATCACTTTTGTTATTATTTTCACCTACCTTGGCAATTTAGTATGAGACATCTACTTTCCAAATCAATCTTGGGCTGAATAGTGCACATTAATGTACATTGTTTCTGTGTAAGACAAACACCATTGTCTTTAACAACCATCCATTCTCTATCGAATTGAAAGCCTTTTGGTCCAATTTTCCATTTTGAATTTATTTTAAAAGCCCCACAGGATTTTATAGGGAATATTGCCATTTCAGTTAAAACAATTCCTGATTTTTGTGGGTATAATATTGAGTTGTTATTATTAAGATGAGATTCTTCCTTCTTTTTATAAATGATCCTAGATGGTAACAATCCATTTTGACTTTTTTTGTATATGTTCATTGTCCTTAGTGGCTTCTCAATTTTGGAGTTAACAAAACATTTGCAGATCATGTAGATTAATTTATCAACATCTCGGTATGTATTATAATATCCAAATGATACTCTTATCGCGCCGGTTGGTTTCCCTTTAAGTAAATCTATGTCATCGCCACACTTGTGACCAGCCTTGAACATAGCTTTCATATTCTTGTTGCTTACATTAAGATGCCTTTGGCATGTTCCAGAATTGCAGAAACATCCAGTCCGGACACTTATATTAAATAAATCTGCCATATGCTGAAACTAATAATTTCACTCAATTGTACCTAAAACGATATTTCAAAGAATTTAACCTATTATGCATGTATGTAATTTTTCTTACTTCAGCATATCCAACAAATGATCCATCTTTTCTTTTTATGTTGAAAGCAACAATGGAACCTTGTGTTTTTAAATCTGTAAAATCTGAGTCCATATACAAATGTGCAGCTTTATTTCCATTTTCATGTTTGAGATTAATTAGTTGCTTAAAGAAGTCTTGTGCTAAATAAAAAGTGTGATGGGAAATGGTTTCCATTACATTATTTTCAACAATTGTTGGTATTAGTGAATAAAGTGTATCAAAACAATGTTTCAAGGCAAGAATTGAAAGGAAAGGTACTGTACCATCCTCATATCTGAAATTAGAAACAATAATATTATGATCTAAATTATAATTTTATTAATGATGCCACCAGAAGTGCAAAATCATCAATAATATTTTAATTATAATATCTTTTATAAAATTATTAAATTATATAGGATGCTTTATCTAATCATTAATAAATTACATGGATATTGTCTGCCTGAAATAGAAGTTAATTAAATTACTTATTTTCTTATATACCTTTCACATGTTGTTTCCCTCTTTAACATGAAAATCTTCACTTGTTAAAACAATATCAACAGTGCCTCCACCAAAATATTTCTTATCGCTTAAAACTGGTATACTTGTATTTTTAACAATCAACGCTCCTAAGCCTGTAGGATACCCAAATATCTTGTAGAATGATAAGCACACAAAATCTGGTTGAATCTCAGATAGATCTAACTTGTTTGTTGAAACATAGGCGGCTGCATCCAGAAGAATGTACCAGTTGCAGTTAGTTTCGCACAGTTGTTTCTTTAAGTAATTGTTTAAACAACCATTTTTTATATTTTCTATACAGTTTAAAGGATATTTAAAACCATTAAAATTATTCTGTGCAGGATATGCAAGGAGAGAGTTGCTTCTATTTTCATTCTTGATTGTAGGTTGTATAGTTCTTGTGTTTTTAACAGATTTTAAAAACTCTTCTTGTGATATATGAATAACATCCACATTCTTTTCTTTAGCTATTTCTCTTAAACCAATAACAGATGTATGATTATCTCTTAAATATACAAATGATCCTTGATTTTGTTCATCTTCTTGGCTCATGAATTGAAAAGACTCTAACACTAATTTAAGAGATTGTGTTGTCCCAGATGTAAAAATCACAGTATAATTGGATGGGTCTGTATTAAAATGTTTTAATATAAGGCACCTTATTTGTTCTATACAGTCTTTGGTATATTTATCTGAATGAGGATTCATATAAACATTATTTGTTAAGTCTTCATTCACCTTTCGAAGGAGGGAAGCTGGATAAAGTGCAGCACCAGCATTTTCTAAATAACACCTTTCTGAAAAATAAATGTTACCAATTTAGTTTTATTACATTCTTATGTTTTTATGTGTAAACAGTAAAGTAACTTACCTCTTAATCTACAAAATTCCTTAGAAATATCTAACATTTTTTCATAATCAATTACTTTGCTCAGTGAAATCATTTTTAAGTAAAATTACATTACGCATTCATCACCAAATTATCTTTGTAACCAATTAACTACCGTGACCTAAAATAATGATGAAAGAACAATTAACTTATTACAAGTTTTTTACCACATAATACAATCAAATATAAAAATTGTAGTTAATCTATTCGTACAATTCACTATATTTACAAGGTCAGAGCTGTACAATATTTGTTCTGGAAGACGAACGAAATTAATATTTACACAAGTTTCATTGCAAACTTATTTGATCACATTTCGAATAAAGTTAAAAATCAACTGGTTTGTTATTTATTTTCAATTGGGAGTCGTCAATCTGTAACCGTCAGTGTCAAATATGGTTTTGACATTAATGTTTGATAGAAGAAAAAATATTGCTAGATCTAAAAATTCTCCTTTTTGTCAAATATATATTTATGTTCATGATATATTCCATATATAAAAAACCGGGACGGAAATACTGTTAAAAATTAGTACAAATAAATTTAATTTTATTAAAAAAATATTATTTTTAATTAGTATTTCAAAATTGACTTTAATAATAGCATTTTAAATGTCTTTTAGTTTTACTAATTTAATTTTTTTTTTATTTTATAATCAGCTGTTAAGTGTTTCTACGACGCACATGAATATATTGTAGATTGATATATATAGAAGCACCTTCCGCAGCATCGCCTTACTAAATTGAGTTACGGCAATTTAATTATTGCTTTTATGGAAGGCTTTTAGTAGCTTTTAGTAGCAAGCGGGCGTGATCGACTCCTAAGTGAATTGACATCCCTGATAGAGGACACTCTAAAGTTCTACATGAGGTTAATGTTTATACTTTGTATTGTTTCGAATAACGAAAAAACAAGGCTTCCAGGTTAAGTGTGAACAAACGTAACATGACAATTTACTTTAGAAATACAGCACTAACATCATTACAAAGTAAAATATTACTAATATATGATTTCGTTCCAACACTAAAAATCAACACAACACGGGAACTACTAACGTATGTAACTTAGATCAACCGACAAATGAACTCCGTTCCGGTGGAAGCAGATATTTATGTTGTTTGGTGAGTAACAACCGCTGCTGAAGCACCAATCAGATTAATGTCGATTGATTTGACAGATAACAATAGCTGAAAATATAATGAGATTTGCCCTCCGCGTATTGACTGAGGTAGCTCATACCACTTGAACTGAAATGTTTACAAACAACGTGGAATATTTGGTTTGCGCGGTTGTTTCTCCTGTCAATATAATAACTCAGTGGCGCGTCAATAGTAAACACGATGTGCGAATATTAATTTAAGGCAAACGAATTCATTGATATTTTACAGAGTAGTTATTTTGTCTTTATAGTATGGTAGAATTAAATATTTTTTTATTTTATTTTCGGGTTTCGCATCTATAGAATAAAACCTTACTACGTATATCGTCAAAACCCACAGTCTATCATCTATGCTTTGTCTTCGGGTAAAAAAAAAATAATTTCACTATAAAATAGGTTACAATAAATATTTTAGTTTTTTCAACATTGTTGCACGTGTTCGAATACACTTAGCCCTTTTCACTAAAATAATTCTCTAACAGGCACGAGACTCAGCAACGTCCTTTACCCACGGTCATCCAAAACACCAAACGTATTAGAGGTGCGTCACCGGCCAAATTTAAAAAAGATGATCCTCAAATGTATTTGCTACAATACATTTGAAGAATTAATAATCATACTTAACATCCAGACATAGTATAATTAAGTATGTATATATTTCATTAACTTTTGCAAACATTATAAAAACATAGTTCATATAAAAACTTCTTCGTTTCCCATCTACTTAAATAGATGCATTTTATAAATATTACCTACTATAATGATTATTACAACCTGATTATCTTTATTTGTTTTTAATAATTTTTAACCAATTATATATTTTGGAGGCTACTGGGTTCACATTTTTTCCGAACCTGTTTTATTCACCTTGTATATTCAAGATAATACTGTTAACTTGACATTGGTTTTGGTCGTATCGTGTTAATAGCTTTATCTACTCCTAACTGTTAAGTCGTGATTTAATAAGTTGCGAAATGAGACTCGCGTATGTTTTAATTCACAGTGTGTTGCTGTTTTCCAATAGTATTGAGTGTTTCCAAATAAAAATAAAAGTGAACGCTGGTGACGACACAAGTAATCCTAAATCGGATATTTACCTTGACTCTTTACAACTGATAAAGAGATATAATTATCCTGTGGAGACTCATATAGTGGTAACCGAAGATGGTTATCTATTAAAGACGTTCCGTATACCTAGCGAGGGCCCGCCGGTTTTATTAGTGCACGGAATTGGTGACAGCTCAGACTCCTGGCTGGTACTCGGCCCGACCAATTCGTTGGCTTTCTTGCTAGCTGATGCCGGTTTCGACGTTTGGTTACACAATTCCAGAGGAAACAGATATTGTAAGAAGCACGTGAACAGTTTGCCTGAAAAAGAATTTTTCAACTATAGTTTCGAGGAAATGGGCACTCACGACTTGCCGGCTACCGTAGATTATATTTTGAGAGAAACTTTAAAGACGAAATTGACATACGTCGGTTACTCGCAAGGCACGACTACGTTTTTTATTATGTGTAGCACGAAACCGGAATATAATGAGAAAATAAATTACGCTGTGCTCCTAGCTCCAGTTGCTTGGTTAACGTTCACCAGATACCCGTTTATCAATTTTTTTAACCACATCCTAGGTGGTCTTGTGAACTTTTCCGAGCGTCATCAAGTGCATGAGGTTTTTCCTTTTAATAAGAAATTAAACTTTTATCATGCTAAAGTCTGTAACACTACAGCGTCATATAGTTTTTTGTGCCAAGTGGAGTTGTACTTAAATTTTGGTTTGAATCGATTATCTGATTTGACACCGGAACGATTGCCTGTCATCACAAGTCACATACCATCGGGTTCATCAGCAAAAACATTTTTCCACTTTATTCAACTTTACGCCAGCAAGAGATTCCAGCGATATGATTACGGATTGAAGAAGAATAAGGAGGTATATTTTTCTTCAGTTCCACCTGAGTATAATATTTCATTGGTTTCAGTTCCTAATACGATATTTGTCAGTGAAGTGGACTGGTTTAGTGATAGAGACGATACAAATTTACTTAAATCGAAGCTAAAAAACATCGAACAATTTGTAGTTATCAATAAAAGTTTTGAGTTTACTCACCTTGAATTTACATACGGCTCACGAGTGTATAGATTAATTAATGAACCAGTTATAAATATTTTGAAGGGTCTAAAACAGCTGGATATTAGATAATATTCATATGAGATTATATACTGTATATGTTAAGAACACGGACTTAAATTTGAGATTACTTTTGCTGTATAGGGAATCATTTTCCGGTACACATACTAAGAGGTATTATTTAAAACAATAAATTTATTTTATTATAAATAAGAAAAAATATTATTTTTATCTTATTTGTGATACTGTATAAGGCGTTAATAAATTAACTGTTATTTAAGTACATACATATGTAAATGCTACAATGTAAATAGGTATGTTAATAATAGAAAGCATTTGTGAAGTAATAGCCACAAAAATATATTATTTTCATTAAAATTATTTTATTAATTTATATCACGATACCTTTGTATTTTTTATATATATAGATACAGTAATATAACTTAAAAGACGAGAACTTTGAAAACCTCACATCACGATCTCGTCATGCGATAAAAGGTGGAGTTCACGAGCGGAACTACAGAACTTAACAAGTCTGAACGAATGCAGGGTTTTAATTGAAAAAATGCTTGATCTCTCCGCCGTTACGTCGCGCACAGACAACGAGTCCATATTGCCACTCTACACCCAATTTTCCGGAAAAACACTCTGTTTTGTTCAGGTAATGAATGTGAAGTCGATGTACCGGTCAACAAGCTCTTTGTCATTGTCATATCGAGATTATTTGGGCTGCTTAAAAATTTATAGCGGACACTTGGCGCGCTTTCAATTACTGCTAGGTCCTACATATGATTAAGCTTTATTAATTGAAAACCGTTCGCAATCTAATAATAATAATAAATTTCTTTATTTGGAACTTTTTTAGTATATTCATTTATTTATTTACTTAGGAAACTAAACAGTCCTGTCTCTTATGATAAGTTAAAACTAATATTCTTATTATCTAGGGAAAAAAAATAAAATTGTATAGAAATCTAAATGTCTGTATGCATGTACTCAGAGACAGTAGCCTTACAAATTTCACTGGGAACATTTGAGTTAAATATTTAAAAAAAAGCTTTGAGGTGAGAAACAGTGTCCTCTACAACATAACAAAAACCATTTTCTTTTATAATTGGATATGTGTAATATCTTTATTAGTTAGGAACTTTTTTATCTTATATTTATACGTAATCTGCGAACACGTAAACAAATCAAATCATTCAACGCGTTATTATGCAATGAAACCATATTGTGGAAGGTACGTTTACTAGTGTTACTTCTAGTCGTTGGGACATTGAATAATTTTTTGGTACGCGTAGATCTAGCGGGGATGAAATATAATGCTAGAAAGAAATAAATTACAATGAAATAATCAATACAAAAAGATACAAATTAATTTGAAAGAAAGTGATGCGTCAGTATAAGTTGCAGCACAGTTTTAACACTGATTTTCAGCAAAACCGTACTGTTCGTCTGTTATTCAGCGCTCATACAACTTTTAAATAACAATGGCTTAAGCGGGAAACAATACCCACTAATGAATTAGTAACATTTGTAATTATTGGTGTAAATAGGAGGGTAAAATCTTGCTTCCAGCGGCAGAGTGTCTTGGTAGTTTAATAAAATTGATTTGTAGAATTCTTTAAATTTAAAGCAAAATAAACGTCTAAGACACTAAATTGTTTTCATTTTAGTAGAGTTACAGAGCTGAAGTATCGGCCTTAAAATACCGATTGGTGTAACTCAACTAGACAATGTCAATGTTAAACCGCTTGGACATTTGATGACATATATGCTAGAAACCAAAATTATACATAATAGTATGCAATGAATTATATAATAAGGAAACAAATGAGCTAAATGGCTGTTTGGATTGATGGCCATTATAATACAACCCATGGCCAGTGGAACCATGACGCTGCGGATGTGTTTAATTTTAATAATGTCGCATAACATAATATGGCCTTTGGTCCACGGGGGGTGATTTTGAAGTTACGTAAACCCGAAAACCGACCGTGACTGAAAAAGTTTATAATGTTGTCACGAGATTCAAATAAGGATATACCGCGTGATGCGTTTGACTATTGAACCACGACAATAGTAAGAATATAAGAAACAAGCCGTGTCAGTGACTACGTCCGCGTAGAATAGTTATTTTGGACATCCAAATGTAGTTTTGCAAACCTCCTCCTCATCTTGATAAATTTAAGCTGTGTTATCCGCGTGATATACGTACATATTTTTAGATAATTCAAAAAAGATTCATTTTCTCATTCATATTTTTGGGTATCTTGAACCGTTTAGGCAGCGTACGTATCGGAAACCCACAAAGATGAATAATTTTCCTCGTTTTTCCATATTATAGCTTCTAGACTTCCTCGATAAATGCCCTAACCAACACAAAAATCATTTTTCAATTCGAACCAGTATTTCTTAAGATTACCGCGTTCGAACAAACGAACTGTTTAGCTTTATATATTATTATATAAGTATAGATAAGTTAACAAATATATTTCACGTTTTAAACTCGTAAAGTGTTTCCTTTAGATGTGTACAAGCAAACTACAGACAGTACTTAAAATATTTGCGTTTTAAATCCTTTTATCAAACGATAATTGTTCACATCTCTAACGAATTCTAATATATGGTCGTTCTTAGATCATTTAGTTAAATAACGAAGCGGGTAACCTACATGTTATTAGCGTATATGAATTTAAAAGGCGTACCTTACACCACTTAGGTAGTTCAAAGGCGTGTCAGTACAAAGATTACTTAGCATTAAGAGGCTTTGCTCTACAATCAATTAGTGATACCTACCTGGCTCTAAGTGCTTTCTAATGTTATAAAATACAAGGATATATCAAGGATTTTCATGTATACTAGAAGCACATATTTTTAATCAAGACGCATTTTTGCAGTAAACTATAAATTAAGATGCGTTAACATCACAATAATAAATAAGTTCAAGACGTCACAAAATTTAGATTGTCAAAAGGCGTATTATTGTTTAAAAGACTTCTTTAATGACAGGGCTGCCTGGCAGTGAAGTGAATGCTCTCCTAAGGTCATTAAGATTTAAAAAAATGCATTAGTTTGTAAGACATGTTGAAAAAAGCCAGACTGAGTTTCTTGGGTGTTCTTCTCAGTTATTGAACATCTTTTGAACATTCTGTAAAATCACGACGGACGGACAGACAAACATTTTTTGAAGAATCTTAATAATTTTTATCTAAGTAATTAAAAACCACATAAACCAACGTGCTGATGCTCTAACCAATTGACTCGGTAACTCAATTGGTAGGAGCAACGGCACGGAACGCTGACGTTGCCGGTTCGAGTACTGCCCGAGTAGTAAATTTTTTCAATTTATTTTCGATTTTAAATTTTATGTAGTGCGTCACAAAATACGAATGAACTTAAATTCTTATAGGAACGACAGAATAAGGCCGGGGTTCCTTTGATGGATGGTGGTACCCCACCTATGTAACATCTACTCAAGTAAATACTTTCTTCGTTACACGGAAGTACACATTTAAATAACCCTACGGTTTAAAATCATTTTTGTTAAACTTTCTGAAAATGATTTTTAACTTCGGCCCCGACGCTTCGGATGCTTTGCAGCAGCCGGTGGTCACGGGCAGACATCCGAATCCGTATCGCGTTTTAAACCGTTAAAGTGTTTTATTAAATCTAACAAGTGTCAACCTATTTTGATATTTGATTTAGGAAAACCCACAGAGAAACCAAAAACGATGGAACTTAAATACTTTTCCTTCCTGAAGATGGTGGTTCGTTACCCGGACGAAAATTGATTAGAAAAATATTGGCAACGGTGACGATTAATCATATACCGTTGCAATATACAATCTTATGTATGCTTCTTATATGTTTTATATTATTTACTTAGTATCTACTTAGCGGTATTAACTCTTGAGTATAATTTAAATTATTTAGTTTCATACATCATATAGAAATGTAATCACTATTCAGTTCATTTACAGACAAATTGTTGATTTGACTTCTGTGCCCTGGCCGACCGAAACGATTGATAGTTTCCCTGGGCTCGAATCTAGAATCGAATCTCCACCTTAAACATTTGGCTAAAGAAGTGGTAAATCATATAGCGCGTCCATTTTCTTTTGTGGACGAAGTTCTGAGCGATGATCCCATAGAAGCGGAGCTGAATAGTGGTTCACTGAAAGGTAGGTTATATTAAATAGCATTTGCATCTATTGGCAATGGCGACGTGACGCGGAGCGCCGCGATGCCGTGTCGATTTGTCGGCAGGCTTTATTTCCGCCTGTCGCGTGGAAATGTGATAGCGCTTATATTTTATTTCCAATATTTCAGTAATCGAAATAGAAACGTTGCCGTGGGTTTGTCAAACGTGACTGTATCGACTCAATTTTCAATACCGTGTTTTTAACTTCGTTCTTTGTTTTGAGGTTCAGAGATGTATATTGTGTGTTTTGTTTTATGTCTAAAAAGGTAGCTTGGCAGTAATATGATTATCTCCTTAGGTTAATAAAATCACAAAAATGTCCTAGTTTGTAAAACATGTTGAAAGAAGTCGGACTGAGTTTATTGGGTGATGTTTGGAATAAGACGGCGATGTTGCTCTTTGAAACACTCGGTAAAATCACGACAGACAGACATTTTTCATTTTCTTTTTTTTCACGAGCCTAATATTTTTTTATATTTTAAAAATTGCAAGTGACGTTTCAGAAAGCATCTATCGAGGAAGGCTTATCAACATCATGCTGCAACCAGTGGGTAAAGTGGAAATGAACAATGACGTCACATGTTAACAGCTACACCTAAAATAAAAAGATGCGTATTATTACAAAAACAAAATGTTGATTCCTAAAATAACTATTCTACGCCGACAAAGTCGCTGTTTCAGCTAGTCCAAAAAATCCACAAAAACGTTTTTCCTAATAAATTGTGTAAGACTTTCACGGCCATCGTTCAGCATATGCATTGTCTTGTATATATATATGCTGTCTTTCGGGCTGACGTGAGTGAGAAGAGGTTCTTGACGTTTCGCCATCACGTGTGGAAGGCATCATCAGGAGATGATGATAACCCCT